CATAATGCTATTAGTTTCTAGTTAATGGATACAAGTGACAGTATGAGATGAAGAACCTAGCTACAATTTGCAGGTGCTAGAAAGAATGCTATTTTTGTGCAGAATGTTTATAACAGAGAAAGCGGGTGTCAGGCTCAAGGACACAAGACTCAAGGACACAAGAACAGAAACCTATTGCATGTTTAAAAAATGCAAGTTTAACCCTCAGAGGATGAGTATCTTGTATTATAATCAGGCCTATTGACCATTTGGTATTTCAAATTATGAATACAGCAATACATTAGCTATATAATAAGAAATACAGAAGTAGACTGACACATTGTAACATAATATATATACATATATAGATCTGTATGTCTAGGGGAATATTCACCAAGTATTGCATAGGTCAAACAATGTGTTTCCATCAACCAATATAAACTGTAAAAACCCAGAAGTGAGCTAATATTCTCAGAATGTTGTGATGTAACAGCTAATAGTCTTAACATGTGTGTAATATTGCAACTTTATGTGCTAACTATATATATATATTGGTTCTCTCAGCACCACCATTAGTTTGTTGTTGCTAAAAAGATGAAAAGGACAATTCTATGCCCAGTTGCTTACAAGGCCCTCTAGAACTTGGAGACTAACTGGGTATACCATGCAACCGAACTATCTCTTTGATGAGCACAAAGGCTAGATCTAGTGAGGAAGGCAATTTGTTAAGAGTGATAAAATGTGTTGGTAAAACAGTCAATAACCATAAGTATAACCACTATATACAGGTAATTCAACTATGAAATCCATAGATATATGAGACCACGGAATAAGTGATACAGGCAGAGGTTGTAATAACCCACATTTTAACCGATGTGGAACTTTGGAGACAGCACATTTTTGGCAAGCATTAACATATGCGATAACATCATTTCTAAGAGAGGGCCACCAGAACTGTCTGGTAATAGCTGATATAGTTTTGCGTATACCAGGTTGACCAGCCATTACATTATCATGGTTGGGGGGGACTAACTTAGGGTAGGATTAGAGCTAGGAGTAGGGTTAGGGGTAGGGGTAGGGTTAGGGATTAGAGGTAGGGTTAGGGGTAGGGTTAATTCATTTTCCCTGTCTCTCCTGTTATGCCACTTTTCAGAAATCTGAAGCACTTTGGCACTTCTGCAATTTGGTTCGGTTCACAACATCCAAATGTCCAAATTGCCGAAATTCGGCTGAATTTACATTCGGACCGAAACGAATTGCACATGTGTAATGCAAACGCATAAACACATGAACGCATACATATATGCACATGAACTCATATACTCAAATATAAATGCACAGTCACATGTATAAGCATACATGCATAAGAGTATGGGAAAGCATAGGTCTACACATAGTACTTTGTATATTGATAGAATAAACATATTGGGTTTAAAGTGTTGATACATATGACAGAACAGTAAGATAATGTGGGGGAGTGTTCATGTAAAGTGTTGGTAGTGGGACAGGAAACCCAAATCAATATTTAGTCCTCTATTCTTGCTGTTAAACAATTTGATCATCTGGTTTCAAAAGTTTGATTTCTTGGGTATTTTTAAAACCCCCTTTCAGTACTTTGATTTTTAGGTCCTTCATCAAATGGCCATGCTGGGAAAAGTGATATCCCACAGGAGTGCAGTACCATCCTTCTTTGTGGTGTTTAATGGAGTGTCTGTGCATATTCATTTTGCCATTTAATTGCTGTGTGGTTTCCCCAATGTAGCAACCTAGGTGGCATTTGGTGCATTGAATCATGTTTACCACATTGCTGGATGTGCAGTATGAGTATGATCCTTTAATGCTTGTATTGTTGTGTGTGGCTGTGTTGCCTGTGCATATGTGCTTACACAGTTTGTACCGAGGTTTCTTGCATTGACTGGTCCCGTTTTATTTATTCTTCCCATCAGTGGACAGCTCCCTGTTGATTAAATTTTGTTGGAGGTTTGATAGTTGTTTGAAGGTCAAAATGGGTGTTTCAGAGAAAATGTTTTTCAGAGACTCGTCTTCTGTTAACATTGGTTGTAGGCCTTTGATGACCTTCTGTATTCCTCAAGAGCTGGGTTGTAGGTGACCACAAGTGGCAGATATATTTTTTTCTCTCTGTACTGTAGCAGGCACGTGCGTGGAGTTTTTACAGCAGAGTTGATTTGTTTGTTAATAGTCTTTGGTTTGTAGCTTTTCTGTCTCATAGATTGGGATGGGAATTATGGTCTGTAATTGAACCTTCCGTTAATGGATATTTCCTAGCTTGCGCCGAGGACCACAAGCACTGCACTGGACACAACAACCACTGAAGACTTCACAAACTCCGTAGCTTAACAGGAGTCTCGCTGTCTTCTGTCCACCCTGGATCAGCTTCTGTCCTCCAGGACCGTGTGGGGAAGACCTCTCCTCCAGGAGAGCGTAACAGGGACAGCTCTTAAAAGAGCTAAGTGATTAAAAGCTCAAGGGAGTATGCAGAGCATAGCAATCCCCAGTGTGATTATAGCAGTTCCCTCCAATAATGAGACAAGGCTACGTATTGAGGGTCAAGAAGATCTGTTTTATTTAGCACCAAAGGGACTTCTTTTATGCAGGTTTTCCCTACATAAGACCACCCACAGGGTTTTACAGAATAACCAATAACACATGTACATTACAGAAAACACTCCCAGCAATTACCCACAAAAATCCTCCCCTCTGTCTGTGATCTAATTATGGTACACAATGCTTAACATAATTAACACAGGCAGGAAAAATAAAATTTTTATACATACACTGTAACTTTAAAACCATGTATCCAATCTTCATAAAAACATATTATTATCAGCATCCTTTAAATATAAACATGCACAAAAATCATAAAAATTCGTTCAGTAGATCAAAAGTTAGACGCAAGTCCTTTATGACCGACCGCAAGCACATTTTCCTGCCCAAAACAGTTCTATAGATTTAGGCTGTGCAGTCAGTCTATTTCAGGCTGAAAAAATGACTAAGTCCCATCGCCGAATGGGACTTAGTCTCTGCGGCTGAAAGTTCAGTATGGGAGAAGGTACAGGTCAGCGGTGTTTGCAGAAATGTGCAGCCGATTTTAGTTCCATGAATTTGGCTGCACACAACGCTGACCATATTTGAATGAATAAAGATGGCGCCGACACGTGTTCGTTTGCACGAACAGTGGACACCCAGCATTCGGCAATTTACCTACAGCAAGTTCCCAGCCTGATAGGTAAATTGCCTGCACACTTCCACTTCTGGGTGGTCCGCCTGTGTGGTACTTGGTTCAGTAAGCCCCCTTTACTGAACCAAGTGGGAAATAGCCAGGAACAAAGGGTTTTAACCAGGTCTGGGGACACTGGGGACACAGGCTTAAAGGGGCATATTCTCAAACAAGTTTGGGGACACCGTCTTAAAGGGGCATTGTCCCAATTTCCTCTATGTCACAAAAATGTGCTTAAAGGGCCATCATCAGTTCCATAAAAAGTCCATAAGCCCCAAAATGCATGGTTTAAGATGGTGCCATCTCCCAGGGGAGGAGGCAAGCAAGCAGGCATCTCCAGGACAAAGTGGCAAAGGGCACTTCGTCACATGGTCATTAGGATCAGAGCATATGTGATGGTACCTAGTAGCTTGGCCGTAGATGATGCACTGTTTAGTATAGGAGGGGTGGAAGCTGGAGCTGTGAAGGTAACTGCACCTGTCAGTGGGTTTTCTTTAAATCGAGGTGTGGATTGTGCCATTGTTACACGTCACAGTGGTGTCCAGAAAATTCACAGATCTAGTGAAATATTCCATTTTTAGTTTGATTGACTGAATGTGTTAAAAGTGTCATGGAACTGTTTTTCTTTGCTTTCAGTCCAAATTATGAAGATATCATCGCTATAGCGATGTTTAGTTTGGTGTGTTGTATTTCTAGAAATTGCTGTTCAAGGTCTGCCATAACAACATATTGGGGTGCCATCTTAGTGCCCATAGCACTGCCCATTGTTTGTAGGTAAACCTCATTGTTAAAAGTGAAATAGTTTTGTGTGAGGATGAATAGGACCAGTTCTGTGATAATTCTGGGGCTATATTTTTGGTTGACGGCATAACAGAGAAAATGGAAGCAAGCACTGATGCCATCTGTACGCGGAATCTTACTGTACAGAGATTCCACATCCATGGTTACAAGGATGGTGTTAACAGGGAGATTGATGATTTGGCTGAGTTTGTTTTATATATATATATATATATATATATATATATATTAATAAATGAAGATGGGGTGCACTCAGAGGTCTTAAAAAAATAAATTGGTGTTAATTTACATCACAAAATAAATTAAGTGTCTGATCGACGTTTAAACCCATCTGGGTCTTATTCAAGATTCATTAGATTGCAATGGGGTAAGAGCGAAGATCTTTTTGGATATATGTAAATATATGCAGTAATAATTACATTTAAATGTAAAACATAAATATATTTGTGTTTTCTTGGTTACAGACAGTGAAAACTGCATGCAATGCATAGAGTATGAATGGCCAAACATGAAGCAAGATCAATGCATTCCCAAATTAGTGGAGTTTCTCTCCTACTCAGAAGGTGTGTTGGCCATGATATTGGCATCAATCTCAGGTTTGTTTTGCTTTTTAACCATATTAATAGGATTCATTTTTATTTCATACTGGGAAACACCAATTGCTAAAGCCAATAACAAGAATCTAAGCGTAATTCTCCTTGTCTCCATCATGCTGAGCTATCTCTGTGTGTTTTTATTCCTTGGACGTCCTGTGGATATAACCTGCATTCTCCGCCAAATATCTTTTGCAATCATCTTCTCGGCAGCCATGTCATCTGTATTGGCCAAAACAATCATGGTTTATATTGCTTTCAAAGCCACCAAACCCGGCAGTGTGTGGAAAACGTGGATTGGAGTCAAACTGTCCACAACTCTATTCTTGTTCTTCTTCTCTGTTCAAGTTATAATTAGTATAATTTGGTTGACTATTTCTGCCCCCTTTCAGGAGACAGACACTTATTCTTATATAGGAAAGATCATCATTCAGTGTAACGAAGGTTCAGTTATTGCATTTTACTCTGTCCTGGGTTACCTGGGGATTCTGGCAGCTGTTAGTTTTATTGTAGCTTATTTAGCCAGGACATTGCCGGACAGCTTTAATGAGGCCAAGTACATCACTTTCAGCATGCTGGTGTTCTGCAGTGTTTGGATTGCGATGATCCCAGCTTATCTGAGCACCAAAGGGAAATACATGGTGGCTGTAGAGGTTTTTGCCATATTGGCATCAAGTGCTGGACTCCTATTTTGTATATTTTTTCCAAAATGTTATATAATGATCTTTAGGCCAGAAATTAACACAAAAAATTATTTGCTTAACAAATGATGCATGATTTTTCTCAGCCTGAATGTATAATGTTTTATTTGTGCCTCATAAATACATCACGTTATGTAATACTTTTGTATAGAAGGTTTTGCTATGTTTCATTTCTAATTAATGTTTCTTTTTATGTTACTAAATGTTCTAGCATCTCAAGTTATTAAGTAAATTAATGATTTCAAATTTTGTTGACTAGATTGTATGAAGAAGCCGCGAAATGGGCTAATTTGATCTATACAGGGGATAACAAATATATTCAAAACGTCAATAGTATTTACAGAAAGTGTACCCCACAAGGGGACACAAAAAAGGGATTGCTTAAAAAAAAAAAAACTAAACATATAGGTCTGCCTTGATTTCATCATTATATATATAAAAACGTATATCTAGGTAGATATAAAACAAACACACATAGAAACATACAAAAATAGAATGTGACAGCATATAAGAACCATTCAGCCCATCTAGTCTGCCCAATTTTCTAAATACTTTCATTAGTCCCTAGCCTTATCTTATAGCTAGGATAGCCTTATGCCTATCCCATGCATGCTTAAACTCCTTTACTGTTATAACCTCTACCACTTCAGCTGGAAGGCTATTCCATGCATCCACTACCCTCTCAGTAAAGTAATACTTCCTGATATTCCCATGCGGTATGTCACTCGCTCTTCAAATGTGAAAACGTATTACCGGAGCTTAGAATGGCCGGATTAAACACTAAACGCTAAATAGAATAGTACAAGACAAGCCGGGGTCAGGGATACAGAAATCACAATAAATGTTAGGAATAGCCAAAGATCAAGGACAATCAGAAAGGAGAATAGTCAACGAAATGCCAAGGTCAAAGTTCCAGAAGTACAGGAATAATAAAGACGCTCTTGGATCAACCAAACAAATGGAAACCACAACAGGGCATCAAATAAATGAATTAGAGAGTTTAAACAGCCCCAGGAGGGCTCTAATTTGTCAATTAGACATGGTGGCAGCAAAACGTGCATGCACATTGATGACATTATGACACCTGTCCACACCAGCAGCCTTAAATTGCAGCCTTTGGAAGTGGATGGCAACGTTAGGGATGACTTTGTGTAGTTCCAAAAAGGCCAACTTAAAAATTGCAAATGGTGTGGCAAGAAGGTGCATTAACACTTCTCTTAGTGATATGTACCGGCCTACTCTTGGACATTCCCTTGCATTTCATTCAAGGGCAATTTCAAAACAGCAGGCCAACAAAATCATCCACTTTATTGTCCAGATTTATAAAGTGCTTCTACAGGTCAGCATTTCTTTATGTCCTTGACGCTACACAAGTGGCAACCCAAGATGCCAGGTGATGGTCAAGGAGGTCTGACCTTGCTGGCAACCAAACTTTATCACTGAAAAAGCAATCCTGAGCATTTTCACTGCAGTTGGAAGGCTAGTCAAAGCTTTAGGCAGGAGCTAGAGAAAACAGGGCTTCCACACACCATATATTAGAGAAATCCTTTATAAACATGATAGAAAATATTTTAGAGCAGCAGAAAGCAATCTATACTCAGTGTCCCTACCACTACATTGTAATAAATTTACCAGATTGGATCCAAAATAGATTACTGCATGCTTGCAAGGTGTGAGAGGGCTGAAATCATCCAAGTTATTGAATGTGATTATTAATTGTAACAATTGTTTTCCTTATCCAAATATTGTAGTAATTCACATGGGTGGCAATGATTTAGGTCTGACCAAGGAGCTAGTTGGACTCACTAGTGTAGAGCTCCTTACTCGCCTCTCAACCAAAAGCTTTTTGTGGCCTAGAACACTCATGGACAACTGCTCTCATCTTAAGTCCTCCAAGAGCACCCTGGCCTGGGATACTCAGTGCTGGGGATGTTTGCGCCAGCACTAGCATGCGGACCTCAGCATCTCTGGCTGGTTCGCATGACTTGGTACACTTACTGAGGTGCACCAGATACTGGCTAAGCTATTGGAGGTACAATTTTACCTGGCCCAGGAGAGTACCCAGGCTCCAGGGAGGTAAAAGTAAAAAATACAGAACCTGAGCGTGTGCTATGCTGGAGCAGCACCTGGAAACAACCTGGGTGGCACATATCTAGGTGACAGGTCATGTCTCCTATCTCACTGCCGGAGTGGAGACGGCAGATGTGACTCCGGAGGATCTCGACAATCAATTCACATCTGCGGCCTGCCGGAGAGGGCTGGGGAGGGCCCTCTCCTTTCCATTCACTAGCTACTTCTCCCTGACATACTGAGTGACCATTGGCACCTCAACAGGGCACACAAGGCACTCTTCCATCAGAGAATGGACTCCTCTCTGTGTCTAAGCAAAGGAGGCCATCTTAAAGAGAAACAGAGAAAGCCCCATTGAGTACCAGTACAACAGATCCTGTCACTTTACCAGGATCTGTAGCCAGTCACATTGAGCAAGCGATGGGAATTAAAGCCCATTACTAACCTCATGCAGAACAACAGGGTGCTATATGCCTGGGGTCACCTCTTCAAGATGATCATGTTCCAGGTCGTCAGAACGTATATTTTGCAACCCGGTGCAGATCCAGTAAAATTTCTGTTCAACCTAAATTTTGCTATGCCAACTGATGTCACTCAGCCCAAGTCACCCACTTAAGAGCTGCCTAGATTGCCATAGGACTGGTACACTGTTGGAGAGTTAGGGGGCCATGTTGCTGAGATAGTGGGAATAGCTGCAGAAGCTGATTACTACATGGTCCTTGACTTACCTTCTATGTGAGGTTCTCTACCTCCTTAGGTACCAAAGAGGGTTGAGGTCAGGGACTTGTCTTTGAGGACCACTGTTTGGGAAGGGGAATTGGGCAGGAGGACTCCCTCTATTGGGACTGTCTGGGTGGGGGGGTGGGAGTTTTTGTTGTTGTTTGTTTTTCCAAGGAGAGAGCCCCTTTGCATCTCATTATTTTATTCACCAAACCTTTAATACTTTTTCAACCCAAAACTGAAATATAATAAAAGAAAAAAAATAAGAAAAATAATACAAAATAATAAAGTGTGCCTACAAACAAAAATATAAATAAAATACAAAAAATATATATGTAATTATCAATAAAATAAAATGATGGCCCTCTACAACAAAATAATGTCGACAGGCAATGTCGCCTGAAATGTTGGAGGCAAACATCATTACACTTCCAAAACCAGCAAACTGCCAACCAAGTGTGAGAACTTCTGCCCGATTTCACTGCTAAATGGAGACACAAAGATATTTGCCAAACTATTGGCCAACCACATTAAACCACTGTTGCCCTCGCTGGTAGCCAGGGAGCAGATGGGGTTTGTCCCGGGACGCCAGGCGGGGGACAACACCATACGGTTTATGAGTCTCATGGAGCTGCTTAATAGGAAGGGAGAAGCAGGGCTTTTGGTGGCGCTCCACGACGAAAAGGCTTTTGACCCTTTTGTCTAACGAACTGCACCCAACAAGGATGTCCGCTTTCTCCATTAATCTTTATCTTCGCCCTAGAGCCACTGATAAGACACATCCAACTACTAGTGATGTTGCGAATATGAAATTTTCGGTTCGCGAACGGCGAACACGAACTTCCGCAAATGTTCGTGAACCGGCGAACCGGGCGAACCGCCATAGACTTCAATGGACAGGCGAATTTTAAAACACACAGAGACTCTTTCTGGCCACAATAGTGATGGAAACGTTGTTTCAAGGGGACTAACACCTGGACTGTGGCATGCCGGAGGGGGATCCATGGCAAAACTCCCATGGAAAATTACACAGTTGATGCAGAGTCTGGTTTTAATCCATAAAGGGCAGAAATCACCTAACATTCCTAAATCACAATGTATATGGATTGATACCTGACATATGACATATTGACACAGAGCAGAATTGGGACTGTTCCTCCTACATAGGGTCATTTGGCAGGTATGGATTGACACCTGTCCTCAGAGACCATGATACACACTGACACAGAGCAGAATAGAGACTGTTCTCCTACATAGGGTCACTTGACAGATATGGATTGACACCTGTCCTCAGGGACCATGATACACACTGACACAGAGCAGAATAGAGACTGTTCCCCCTACATAGGGTCACTTGGCAGATATGGATTGACACCTGTCCTAAGGATCCCTGATACACACTGACACAGAGCAGAATAGGGACTGTTCCTCCTACATAGGGTCACTTGGCAGATATGGATTGACACCTGTCCTCAGAGACCATGATACACACTGACACAGAGCAGAATAGGGACTGTTCCTCCTACATAGGTCACTTGGCAGATATGGATTGACACCTGTCCTCAGAGCCCCTGATACACACTGACACAGAGCAGAATAGAGACTGTTCCTCCTACATAGGGTCACTTGGCAGATATGGACTGACACCTGTCCTCAGAGACCATGATACACACTGACACAGAGCAGAATAGAGACTGTTCCCCCTACATAGGGTCACTTGGCAGATATGGATTGACACCTGTCCTCAGAGACCATGATACACACTGACACAGAGCAGAATAGAGACTGTTCCTCCTACATAGGGTCACTTGGCAGATATGGATTGACACCTGTCCTCAGAGACCATGATACACACTGACACAGAGCAGAATAGACTGTTCCTCCTACATAGGGTCACTTGGCAGATATGGATTGACACCTGTCCTCAGAGACCATGATACACACTGACACAGAGCAGAATAGAGACTGTTCCCCCTACATAGGGTCACTTGGCAGATATGGATTGACACCTGTCCTCAGAGTCCCTGATACACACTGACACTGTCACATATTCATCCACTTATAG